CGTGGAACACGTTCCTCACGGAGTCGTTAAGGGGAGTGTAGGCGTTGGACGCGCGCCTGTCTGGCGATCGCCCGCGATGCGCCTGCTCTGGTGGGGGAGGAGGGTTGCGCTTCGGACCACTGTGCATCTGTAGCAATTGGTCTCGTGGAATTGGGGTTGGAGGCGGTCGGCGCGCCAGTTCCTCTCGCGGCATTTTTGCTGGTTCGAAGCGTCTAACGGATCCCGCCCCCAGGGTTTCTTCTAATGTGATTGCCTTTTCAATCTTCATCTCCAACTCTGTTGATAGCGTGACGGGCCTTTTTGCTAACGCCCGCTTGAGCTCCATATTGTTGGTGGCCTCCATGAGGTGATGGGCGGCGGTTTCGGGGGTAAGGTCGCGGACGGCCATCGCTACCCTGGACCATCTGGCGTAGAAGGCTCTCAAGCTTTCTCCGTCTTTTTGCCTGATATCTATCAGGGCCTTGAGGTGAAGAGGGCGCCGCTTCTGGGACGCGAACTTTGTTGTGAACAGAAGTATAAACTCCTCGAACGAGCAGATGATTCCGTTCGGGAGGCGGTTGTACCAGTCGAGGCATATTCCGGTGAACGTCGATGGGAAGGTTCTGCACAGCGCGGCGTTGGAGTTGGTTTGGAGTTGCATGCGCAAGCAGAAGGTGCTCACGTGGTCTTCTGGGTCGGTTGTGCCGTTGTATGTTGGGAGGGTGGGTGGCGCTCCGCTTAGGTTCTCCGCCATTATTTGCGCGCTCAGTGGCTGGTGGAGGACCCTTTTAGGTGGGTTGGGCCGATATTGCGGAGATAGGTGTTGCTCCAAAAAGCTGAGGTCCGCCCGCCCTGGTAGCTCGACTCCCTGCGTTTCGCACGCGGGGAGTTCTGTTGGCGCGTGTTGGGGTAGTTGGGTTGTCCCCGACGCTTCTCCCAAGGCTTGTTGAGGCGCGACCGCTGTCGCGTCTATCGTTGGCGCGCCCTCCCTGCTCAACATGAGCGCGATGACTTGGCTCATTTGTTTCTGCATGTCGGCTATGACGTTGTTTTGCTTCGTCAACAGCTCCCTCATTTCTTTGACTGTCAGCTCGGGCTCCTCCTCTTCGATGCGCACCGCGTTAAGGTTGCTGGCTTCCGCGAACGCCCTTGGGTCGGTCATTGCCTTGATTGGCGTCGCTTGGTCAGGTTGATCGTGGTTGCGCTCTGCCATTGGTGGGTTTTCTTCAGCGTTTCTTCTTGGCCCCACGGTGGGCGCCAATTGTTTGAACCTAACTGAGTGTAGGAGTGAGGTTCAGGGAAGATGTGGGTCAAGAAGAGTAAGCTAGAGGAAAATCGGGAACTTTTGGGGTGAGTTTGGGAGAATTCCCGTTTAGAGAGAGAAGTTGATGTTTATAGAGAGAGAGTGGTGAAAAATGCGATCCCCTCACCCACCGGAGTAAATGCCATATTTATAGGCTACATGGTGGTGGGTGAGTGGATGGATTACATGATGGGACCCTGACTCTGATGTGACCACTGACATGTCGGGGATTTAGGCCATCCCCCTACCTAGGACATGTCAGGGGTGTACCTACGACTGTGTCACTGATCCCGACGCGGCTGACCCTCGGGAAGTGTGAGGGGAACTCCCTATGGCTAAGTGGCTTACAACGCGCCTGAGCCTCTGCGCCTTGATGCTTTCCACTCTCGCGCGGCTTGTGAGGAGCTCTGGCGCCTTGATGCTTTCCACTCTCGCGCGGCTTGTGAGGAGCTCTGGGTCTTCGCGCGCTGGTTCTCTGCGCTGGCGCACGCGTAGTGGCGCGCCCTTAAGCCTGCATGCGCGCCTTAGACCTTCGCGTGCGTCTTCTGTCGGCGTGTCCTGCCTTGCACAGCTAGGTCCGAGTCACATGCCCAACAGGTTTCTTTCTTGGTCTTTTAATGAAAATAACGAATATTTCTAATGTTTTTCACATAAATTACATACACATTGGGTCGACCTGCCCCGACCCGCGCCCCGTAATAAATTACCCGACCTGGACCCGACCTGCCATGGGGCGGGTATGGGTATCGAGATACCCGCCCCGGACCTGCCCCATTGCCATTCCTAATTCTTCCTCATAATCTTCTCTTTCTACTGCTACGGTTTCCCTTCCATTCTATTTCCTTATCACCACCATATAAAACAATATCTCCCTAACCATATAAAGGGCTTTTGCCATACCAAGTCCTTTGGCCCGGCATTGACAAATATATTACAGTGTTCATACGCAAGTGCATCCAGCAAATTGCATCCACGTGTTCTACACGTTCAGAATCCCGCCTCCAGACTCATCCAGTGACCAGGGATCGCCAAGAAACAATTTCGAGTTCATTACCTACCGGCACTGGAACAACTTGCAGACGTCCTCACCAATTCATTGGCTCGACTCCTCTTTCACCAATTCTGTTCCAAGTTTCACCTCTCCGAGGTTTCACTTGCGGGGGCGTGATAGAGTGTATTGACTTAGTCTACCCATTATGTATTCTGTTCCTTAGTTTTAGCTACTTAGTTACTCTCACTTCCTTAGAAATAGGCAGAACGTTATAATCTCCTGCTGTATATATACTCAAGATCAATAATATACTAGATGGGTTTTGCATTTCATTTACAGTATCCTCTAGCCATCCATATTGCTATTTGTTTGGACTTATTTACCTACAAATCTTACAATTAAGCTTCCTCAAATTTCTAATTGCTTATCGCATGCAAGCCTATTTTACCAGGATCGAAGTTTAAAGAAGCAGCTTGGCTTCTACTCACAAGTTCATGTCTTGCCATTAATCAAATGCTAACACAAATTCAGTCACAATTAGGCAAAACAAAGATGAATGACAAGCTGAGCATAAATATGCTACAGCAGATTAAGATAAGGACACGACTTAGTTTCTTAGATTCATAGATGCCTTAAGATTATAAGACAGTGACAAACATGAGAGTCACAACTCACAAGCAGTGTAGTGAGATTTAGCAATTACAAAATATATCGAAAAGCAATAGAGCTCCAGTCAATATGAGCTATATATAGGGCTGATAATCGGTGGGCGGTTACTCGGTCAAACCGTAAACCGAACCGAAATAGGCGGTTACACGGTCAACCGAAAACCGATTATTATGTTTCGGTGGCGGTGGCGGTTTGCTGAATTTGGGATTTATGGTAACCGGCAACCGACGGTTGCAAACCGAGACGAACTCGGTGGACCGCATAAAACCGACAATTGCTCCCCTGCTCCAAATCTCTCCCTCTCGCCGCTCTTCCCCTTTCGCATCGCCCCTTTCCTTGCTCCAAACCTCTCCCTCTCACCACAGTTCCCTTTCTGCATCGCCACTCTGCTCCTTCTCCCTCTCGCTGGCCGCTGCTATTCCCCTTCTGCATCGCCACTCTGCTCCTTCTCCCTCTCGCTGGCCGCTGCTATTCCCCTTCCGCATCGCCACTCTCCTCCCTCTCTCTGCTCCAACCAAAAATTGATGATCTAGCCCACTCCCCTCCTCTCTGTTGCTAGGTTCAAGATCAGCTATTGCATGCCCTTTCTTCCTAATTTTCTCCTTCTTCGACATTTTCCTCCCCTTCCTTGTTGATAGAGACTGCCGCAGAGGGAGAGCATCAAGGGATTCGGCCATCCATGGCGAATTTGGCGGTGGGTATCCGAGGCGCAGTCCTCCCATCTACCAATCCCATCGATCTGCCTGACTCCTCCGACTCCAGGCGGCTCTTTCTTCCTCCTCTGCCGCCGGGTTGTCGCCTGAACTGAGATTCGATGGGAGTGCTCTCTCTTCTTCCTCGGCCGCTGGTTCAAAATTGGAATTTTCCGGTGACATGCAAAGCAATGGCGGTGGTCGGAGGTTGTGTGTGTCGGTTTCGGCAAACCGCAGTCAAAAACCGAAACCGCCGGTTGCGGTTGGCGGTTAACCGAAGACCCCTTCGGTGTCGGCTTCGGTTGGCCGTGCTAGATGATTCTCGGTCTCGGCTAACCGCGGTTGCGGTTCGGTTAAAACCGAAACCGCACCGCTAACAGGCCTAGCTATATATGATATTCCATGAAAAAGGGGCCACTCAAACAGTAACTTGCAACTTGCATCCTACGCAGTGCACCAATATCAGCCCTGAACCTCTGAGTTGCTTAAGAAAATGAAAGTAGTGGGGGGTCCTTTTCTTTCAAATGGTTTCCATGTCATAGCTGATGCTGTTATCTATGATACATAAGATCAATTTACCCGAGCATGCAGTCAGGTTTGACTAAACTTCACGAGAAGAGAAAAATAACAGAACTTGGAAATGTAAAAACGGCATGTTATTGGAATAATAACAGTATGAAATCATCCAACCATGTTCCTTTATGGAAGTGTATTTCACAAGGAACAAAAGGTGTGACCTTTACCCCCAAGAATAAAATAGCAATCTGAATGAACTCGTCAGTCTTAACTGTAAACTTAGCTATTCTATCCCTTAAGAGCATTCGTGGTATATCAGACAGTTATGCCTTTGTTTTGAGCTAATGTAAATTTCACAATTTGCTCCAAGATGGACTTTTTCTCTGTCTTGCTTTTTCACCTAATAGCAGCACTTTTTACACAAAATACTGTGAGCAAGTAGCCACGCATCATCAAGCAACAGAAGCCCATTTTTTAATAACCAAGCACCAAGAGCCGCCGAGCACAATGGGTGAATAGTGCAGATGCACCTTGGCTTTATCCTTTCCTATGGAATAAGGGAGAAAACCAAGATTCTTATATCTAGTGGGGACAACTTGATCGATCAATGATCATGATGGAGTTTTTGACTTTGTTTAACTGTCTCGTGCAAGAACCTAGTGCCAAAATAGTAGTTTCATTGAACTTTGCCAGACAAACAGGAAAGTGCCAGGAACAATCTTAACAGAACGCCAAATATTATAATACAGCATGTTTAACTCGTAGTAATTTATGAAAAAAGAGGGACGGGTAGCTTTGTACCTATAAATATGAGTGATGTTTCTCACTCCATGCACCACAACTTTTGCTTCCTTTCTTCTGAGTCACCTTTTCTCATTTCTTCTGTACAATGGATCTCTCTCTTCAATACTTTCTGCTAGTTGCAAGTCTTCTCTTGATGCAAACGCTATCACATGCTGCAACCTGTAATGACTGCTTCACTTCTTCTCGAGCAGCACACTATCCGAATTCTGATGAACTTGGAACAGATTGTAAGAAATTCAACAAACATCACATCAAAGCATCTTTAAGTTCTGCTATTACTATCTACAAATTCACTATTTCATTATGACATTGTTTTCGATGTAAATTACAGCCGGAGCATGTGGATATGGTTTGTTTGGAGCTACACTGAATGGAGGAGAAGTAGCTGCTGCATCTGATCTATACCAAAACGGTATTGGCTGTGGTGCCTGCTACAAGGTAAACCTTAAAGCACTGTAACTCGGGAAATATTTCTTTTACTGGGCTGAATAATTTACTAAACTAGTCACCGTTTGCACTTTGTCACCAGGTGAGGTGCACTAACAGCAACTATTGCTCAGACAAAGGAACAACTGTTGTTATTACTGACCAAGGAATGAGTCATAACACTGGGTTTATTCTAAGCAGACGAGCTATTGCGGGGATGGCTCAAACTACAGACTCAGCTGCATCATTACAAGCCCTTGGAATCATAGATATTGAGTACAAACGGTAAGAGACAGATATTTGAGTGCCTAAGTAAAAGTAGCTTGTGAGCATGAATGACACAGAGTGTGAGGGTAACAGAACACCAAAGCTAACTCAGGTTTCTTTGTAAATGCAGAGTTTCATGTAGCTATCCCAACAGAAACATAACAATAAAAATTGATGAGAATAGCAACTACCCTCACTATCTTGCTTTTGTCATCTGGTATCAGCAAGGGCAGAGAGATATTACTGCTGTGCAGCTGTGTGAGGTAATATCTAATACTTAGATGTAGAAAGCATTTAGCCATTTACTCATACTATACTTTCTGTGCAATCCACTTGTTCTGTTCATTGATCAAATGAACACTTTCCGGCCAGGATCATTAATGCATACATATCACTATACGGTTGTCTAATTGAACTTTCACTTTTCTAGACTCAAAATCAGGCATGCAAGCTCTTGGATAGGAGCTATGGAGCTGTATGGACAACAACTTCACCTCCTACTGGGCTCTTATCACTGAGGATGCTATTTAGTGATGAAAATGGATATGAAACTTGGGTTGTTCCTCCTACCAACATACCGAGTAACTGGAAAGCTGGAGAAACATATGATACTGGAGTTCAAGTGAACCTGTAATAGCTCTGTTTATGCTTCCTTCCATATATTACTTCCCTTTTAGTGCCCCACAGAGGAAACAGGTTCAAAAAAGCAATTCAAGAATGCATTGATTTTGGTTTCAAATGAAAATATTATACTACCAATAAAAGTTCACTTTGAATACCTTATATAAACTCTTAAGATGAAATGCCATTGACATCTCAGTACTACTAGTTCAAATGCCATGCCAAATTACCGACAGACATTATCAGTCAAATTCCACGGAAGTCTATATTGCATAAAAAAGGGAAAACAACAGGATTAGCAGTTAAAGATACCACATTCAGACACTGAATGCAATCTTAAAACGATCTTGACTTGGCTGGAATAATCTGTTCGCTATGCCAGCTGCACCCCCTACGGAATACTTTAGAGTTAGTCGTGCAAGCTAAAATAGAAATGGAGAAATAATTGCATTACCTAAAATCGTTGGCTCAAGTGGACCACTTCCTGAACGTTTTACGAAACTGCTAGCATCAATCCCAGTTCAAGGTTTTGCCTCACCCTAATAATTTTTGTGAAAGCGCAGTAGCTAAAATTGAAAATGTACCAGGTTAGTTTTATTGAATAGAGTAGTAAGGTGAAAAGTTCGATAAGGATCAGGATGAAGTTACACCAAATTGGATCAGGCTTTTATGTAAATGGAACGAACTAAGCAGGGCGAGAATCTATATACTTACCACGGTAAAAGAATGAGCATATTACATAATCACAGTCATTCAAGCAACATATCAGCATCTTGATATTTGTAAATTAATTTACAAGGTGATCATAGAGAATATAACTTATGATGGCATTTCAGAATGCTCAACTCCCATTCCTTAGTAGAGTATAACCTTTTGCTTTCTCGCACAATTTTCAGTTGAATGACTGATTTTTCATCTGCACAAGCACAACTGTAGTGTTTGCTGTCTCTTTTTAACTTAACAACTTTTCCCCCACTGCCTATCAAATGGAAGCTTGGGGAACATACTATTCCTTTATGCCTCTTCAACGTGTACACACAACACAAAGCAGTTAGAGCAGAACCACTTGAGAAACCAACGCTCTGAGGGTATAAATGCTCGGTCTAAAGCAACTTGATACAAGAAGCCATCTCATCCAAAATTGAATATACCATGTTTTTCCTATGGTGTAAAGATTTCCCCAGAGAAAATCCCAACCCAATTTCTTCGAGCTGATCTTGGTTAGAATAAGCTGATTCACCAAACGTCTCATTTATCAGATTTCTCGCGTCTTCTATGCCATCCCATTTCCTGTCAGCGATATGTATGAACAACAGCAACAAATATGGTGTAATATCCTCTGGATGAAATTTGATTTGCTGCTTAGCTATGATCTCTCCAAGCTGCAGCATGAAATGCCTACAGCAAGCAAAAGGAGTGGCTTTCGGTAGGTTAGGTTCTACTTCTGTATGCATCTTCTTCACAAGTTCTTCTGATTGATCCATCAAACCAGCCCGACCTAGGAGATCAACCATGCATCCATAGTGTTTTTCTGTTGGTCTGATCTTGTACTTCTGAAGCATTACATGAAAGTACCACCAACCCTCTAAGATCATTCCTGAACTAGAGCATGCAGATAAAATGCTCACAAAAGTAGCAATATTAGGATTAACACCAGCCTTCTCCATTTCCAAGAAAAATTCTAGGGATATTTCTCCATGCCCATGCATACCATACCCCATGATCATACAGTTCCATGATACAACAGATTTTTCAGGCATCTGATCAAATATATCTCTAGCCATCTCCATTTCTCCACATTTTACATACAACGTCAAGAGAGCAGTTGAGAGTAACACATCAGGTTCAATGTCATTATCTCTAATATAAGAATGGATCCATTTTCCTCGATCAAGCTTTCTAAAATTAGCAGATGCTGTCAATACACTCACAAGAGAAGCCTCATTTGGCTTAACTTCTCCTCCAACCATCTTATCAAACAATCTCAAACACTCACCGTAGTCCTTGCATCTGAGATAGAGCGCCAACATGATGTTCCATGAAACCACATTTCTGCACGGCATCTCGTCGAAACAGGCACGAGCAGACGAGATGTTCTTCACCCTTGCATATCCATCTATCATGCAGTTCCACGACACAACATCTCTAGACGGCATTTTCTCAAACAATCCCCTGGCTGCCTCCATATCTCCAACCGCCACATACCCTGAAATCATGGAGTTCCAACTACAGACATCTCTCTCAGACATCTCATCGAACAGCTGGCGTGCAAGAACAACCTCACCATTCTTCACACACCCATCGATCATCGAGTTCCAACTCACCGAATCCAACGCGAACCCACTATCAAACAGGTCACAAGCATCCTGAATCCTCCCACAAACCGAGTACATCCGTATAAACCCATTCTTCACAAACAAATCTGACTCAAACCCGAACTTCACCACCCGAGCATGCGCCTTCCTTCCATCCACAACGGACCTAACCTCGGCACAAACTTTAGCAACCAGCGGGAATGTATAATGATTCGGTGAAACCGAGTTTGAAACCATCTTCAAGTAGTAAAACTCCAACGCACTGCGCGGATCGCACGAACCCAGGAAGCCTCTCATTATAGCATTGCACATAAACGCATCGGGTTCGTCAATTTGATCGAACAGATGGACAGAGTAGACCAGGGAGCCCAAATCGGTGCAGAGCTTCTTCACGCAGCGTCCGGCGGCCAGAGGGTGCTGGAAGAGGCCGCGAAGTAGGAGCTGGGAATGGATTTGGTGGAAATGATTGATGCCGGGACATGATTGGTCGAGCTTCTGCAGAAGGTAATGAACGTCGATTCCCGGAGAAGACGATTGTGGCGGCGGAATTTTTGATTTGGGTTCCCCAGGAAAGAGTTGGGGTGGGGTTTTGGGGAGGTTTTTCTGGGATCTGATGAATTTATCGAGGGAAAGAGAGGAAATTGAGGGTTTGTGTAATCTGACAGACATGTCGTTGGGCTCCGGCGCGAAAACTATTCTGAATGAATCAAGCGGTGGCTTTATAATCCGTAAGCATTTTGTTACAATTTTCAATTTTGGGGACCATTTGCATTAACTTCATACTCTAGTGACCGTCTCAGTAATTAGTCCCATAATTTTCTAGACGCCGTGAGATGAAATCCCTAGAGGGACTGAGATAAAGAGTTCCATTCCCAATTGGCAATTGCCGATTCCCAGCCTGCAAAAATCCTCGAAGGCTAAAACCCTAAAACCCTCAGCCAGAATTCGAAGCAGTCGAAGAGCAGAGGTTAGAAGGCTCGCGATTTCTTTTCTTTTCAATGGGTCTCTTCTCCTGGTTCAGCGGGAGTCCTCCTAATCCCGATTCGCCGCCGAAACCCAAGGAATCAGCTAACAACCCTAAATCCTCATCCTCATCCTCTGCCGCCGCCACCGCGACGGAGGTTCCCGGCATGAACGGCGCAGTGGAGGTCCCCCTCCGCCCTCCCCCAAAGAACGTGACGGTGTTTGAGTTCGGCTCGGTGGCTACCTCGACGGATAAGGTGACTTTGGCCGGATTCTGCCCCGTGTCCGAGGACCTGGAGCCCTGCCGCTGGGAAATCCTGCCTTCTACAGATTCTGACGCCCCGCAGTTCCGGGTTGTTTTCTGAATCGAAAATCTCCCCTCTTTTTCACTCTGCGCTAGGAATTGTGCTTAAAGTTTCCAACTTTTTCACTTTGTATTCTCATCTATCCATCTGTTCGGCTATGTAGTGTTTGAACTTGTTGAGTGAATGGTTCTGTTTGTGTGTTATGTGGAAGATTGGGTATAGATGCAGAATCAATGGCCTGTTTACTGAATGTCTGAATCAATAGAAAAGAAAGAGATGGTTATCATCTTTTCCCGTCTTTCCTTGGTTTGATAGTCTAGGTGCATCGTTGATCTCTATCGCCAGTTTTTCCGAGGCCAGGAGGGAGATCTCTCTGTGGCTGGCGGCCAAGAGCAATGATTGAGTCTTGTCACCGGACTCCCTCGATTCTTTCGCGGCCAGTTTGACGAAAGGATTGAAGGAGTTGAGAGCGACTCTCATGAATTATGGCGGTGGCGCTACCGCTCCTCTCGCTGCCAACAATGGAGTTTATCTGACTCTAACAGCCAAGGGGAAACTGGCCTTGGCAACGATGCACCAAGAAACAAATAGGGGAATGCATGACTAAAAATAGTGCTCCTAAATTTGAGATGATTTTAAGCTTCAACCTCAAGAAAGGTGGGTCTAACTGTAACTCAAAATCTTAACTTGTGATGGATTGGCTAGAAGAACTAGTTTTGCTAAAAATGCTCGGCGCCACGGATGTGAGAATGTGCTCATAGGAGCACACAATAGTTGGATTGCATGTTGGACGTTTCACAATCTAGGCAAATAGAAGCACCATCACGTCCATCTTAGACTGTTTAAGTGTCCAACATAAGATGAGATGATTGTTCGCTCTTGTAAGCACGTTCTTGTACATGGACTGTTAACTCCATGATGAAGTTGCATAGTGGCTGATCTTCACCTTTTGTGAGATCTTTCATCTTTGGTTTTCTTGTGTTTGTCTTGCTGTATAAGACTTATGATTTTTGGGTGTGCATTAATGCAATTTCACCATTATAAAAAAAAAGTTGCATAGTGCATCATGCATTGCAAGCCGTCCAAGCTACACCATTTAATGGGTTTGTGGAGGAGACTTGGAAACCAAAATTCAAAGTTTAGTGGTAGGGACTAGGAAGGGAGGTGGGTGGAAGTTTCTTCATGTTCATGCTAGTCTGTCAACAAGGTGTGATAGGTTCTTAGCAGTCGGGTCGTTGTCGATAGGTGATTCCATAAGGTCCGATGACATGTAGTATCTGGTCGGTCTATTTATTTTATCTAGTTATTTAGTTAAATCATTGTCAGTGATTTGTTATTGGAGCAAATAGCAATCAAAATTTCGTTCGACAAATCACTACGAATTGTTATTAACAAATAACAACAAATAAAAAACCACGAAAGAAATTGTAAAAATAACAGGTTGTGTCATTAGGTTTGAATCAAGTCAAAATAAAACCAAACAATTGATGAAGAATCATAATGACCTAATTCCCTTCTCTTTCCCACTATAGAAGGCTCTAATTATACGCGGCCTTTCCAGGTTATTCTACATCTTTCTCTCTATCTTTTGTATTTTCGTCTCTTTACGACTAAATTAAAGATCAAATGTTGGAACCTCATGATGGACTTATTCCTTCCTGTTGCAGGGCAAATGGCTACTAAAGGCCTATTTGAGCATTTTTCATTATTCAAGGTGCAATGAATCATATTACCTCTCGAGTCAAATACGGATCGAGTCATTTAAACAGGTCAGTTTTGAATCGAACCCAGGTGAAGACTAGTCAAAACTCAACTACTTTCATCACTAAAAACCAAAAACAGATTAGGGACATATAACTGGATAAGTCGGCCAAAGATTTCTACACCACTCATAAACTTTCTTTCCACGCTGTGGAAAAAATGACTCCACGAAGGCCCTACAAACATGACCCCAAGTCAATTAAGTCAACCATCCAATTAGATACTCCAATGAACTTGACTTCATCAATTTCCATCCCCCCAACTTGAAACAAAAAGCATCTTCTTTATAATCACTATCATCTTCATCCTTCTTTCTGCACAATCCACCCTGAATCCCAAACAAAAATGGCCAAAAACCATTCACTATTTCCCTTACTTCTCCTCAAAGTTTCGATCTTTGGCTTCCTTTTACCACTCTCGTCAGCTTATTCTTCCTCCATACTAACTTCTTACACTCACCATTGCAGCTTAACAGTCCCACCTTCTCCCCCCACAGAACCAGAGCTCACCACGATCCCTTTCCCTCCAAACCAGGACGGTTACTACGTCGGCGGAGATGGGATTTCCAACCTCACCAGCAGCTCCAACTCTTCTTCTTCTTACTCGTATTTCGAATCGGGAGCCCGGAAAATCTTCCTCTTCAGAACCCACCACGTCCACAAAACAGAGTCCCCTGAAGTCTACAAAATCACGGCCGACTTGGTCCTCGAAACTTCAGGGATGAGGCACTACAGCGACTTCACCTCTTTGAGCTACTCTTACTCTCCTCACGTGATCGTTAATGGAGTCCAGAAGGGCCCCTTGACGTTTCAAATGGAAGGGTTTTGGTCCCCTAGCAGCGGGAAGATGTGTATAGTTGGGTTTGGCGATGTCTTGGATGGCGACGATATGGAGTATGGCCATGGTCGTGGCCGTGGTCGTTTGTCTGGAATTTTGCAGATGATGAACGTGAAGGGCTCGAGCGAGCTGACGAGTCTGGTGACAGGGACGTTGCAGAGTGATGTGGGCGAGGCGTGGAGCTTCAAGCCTGTCTCGATGCTGCTGATCCCCAGGATCAACTATGAGTACAAACACACAAGGTAGTCAACACTTGTATAAGTTTATACTCTGTTTTCGATAATGTCCGGATCGAAAATTCGTATGAAATTGGTAGCCTATTAGTTTGAAATTTGCAGATAGTAAGATTTTGTGCAATAAGCAAGATAATTTATTGTCTGTGGTAAATTATGCCAGAATATTACTAGCCACATACAGAATATGCAACTTTTAGTAACCATTTCTTTAAACACATGAAATCTCGTTTAAGTGTTATCGATGACAAATCTAATGGAACACAAATAGACAGACACTATTTAGAGTTCACTCCTACATTCAATTCTCAAATCTCTCCATATCATAAACATGTCATCACATTTATTTGTCATATCTTTGCAAATCCTTTCTCAAATCTGTACAGCTATCTTTAGCCATCTATAAATGGCAAAGCTTTGTAATGATATTGGCAAGAGAAGAAATACATTTTCATGGTATCAGAGCATAGTATACTCTCACGAGTTTTATTTCCATTCTCCTGCTTCCACTTTCTGCTTCTCCTATAATGTCAACTTCTTCCTCCACAACCTCCTCCCCCTCTGCCTCTCTTCAGTCCATCACACCTCCTCGTCTGTCTCTCCCCTCCAACCCTCAACTGACAGTGAAGCTCACCCCAACCAATTATCTGCTTTGGAAGGCACAACTTCAGCCTCTGCTACGCTGCCATCGCTTGATCGGCCACATCGATGGCACTTCTCCGGCTCCACCACTCACCATTGACGCTCAACCAAATCCCGACTATACCGAATGGTATGAAAGAGATCAATTGGTTCTTACCTGGATTACCCTCTCTTTGTCTGAGGCAGTCATGCCCACCATCATCAATAAACAGACTGCTCGTGCTGCCTGGGATTCTCTGGCACGGATTTATGCTTCCGGGTCGCCGATCATCATTGGGCAGCTCCGGAGAAATCTGAATCACATATCTCGCGGCGAGGATTCCGCCCACGAATACCTCCAACGCGCCAAAGCCATCTTCGATCAACTTGCCGCGCTCGGAGCCCCAATTACAGAAGCTGAATTAGTCACTGCGATTCTCGACGGTCTCGATGAAGATTTCCGGCCCTTTACCCGCAATTTGGAGGCCAAATTGGAGCCAATTTCGTTTGAAGATCTCAGCAGCCTCCTCATCAGCGAAGAACTTCAGCTCCGCCGCTTTCAGTCCCTCTCCCCCGCTAGTGATGCTGCTCCTCGCTCAGCCTTCTTCTCTGGCCGATCCCGTGGTCGTGGCGGCAGGTTTACAAGAGGAAGGGGACGTGGCCAGTCGGCCCGCCAGTCCACCCACTTCCCCAACACACGGGCCCATCCATCGGCCCAATTCCAATCTTATTCTGTCCCAACTAATAACAATATGTCTGCAGGAGTTCTTGGTTCTGGGCCATCCGGCCCATCTGCTGTGGTCTGCCATAATTGTGGGGGAAAGGGTCATATCCGGCCCAATTGTCCAAGTCCCAAATATCCAAACCCCACTTATTCTTCAAACCCAGCTTCGTACTTGGCCCAATCGTCACAACCTATTCACTCTTCTCAACCATGGCTCCTTGATTC